AGTAAACTTAAAGTTTTTGGGACAAAAATACTTAGCGAAATAAATTATAAAGTGGTTATAATTATGAGAATTCATATTGCATTAAGGCATTGTTCCTTATAAATTTTCCTTGTTAATGTTGTATTGAGGTTGGAAATTAATTAGAGTAATTGAAATCAATGCATGTTATTTTTTTTCTTTTATTAAAGAAAAAAATATTCTTATAAATTGAGATATGAAAGATAGTTGAATCTACTTTAGATACTTGTGAAATGACATGTATTTTGAATTGACTTCTATGAGGATTCCATATAGAGAGATAATTTATGTTTAGGGAAAATGTTAAGATTTGATTTTGACTACACATTTTCTTAATCTTAATCAAGGGCAATAAAGGAATAGATATTGTGTATTGTATAAATTATATGAAAGTATCTGAGCAATCAAAAGACAAATCTCCACCCTACATGAATTATAGAAAATATTTCATCTGTTCTTAAAAAGTATTGATTGTGAAATCATTGTACAAGATTAAAACAAATTTGAAAAGTATTTTAGATTTTATTCAAAAAATCAATTACTATGATGTTAGAAACAAAGATTATTTGACAAAGTAAACACACTACATGTTTTATTATCTAAAATAGAATATTCTTAATGAAAAAATAATAATTACATTACGAAATTGGTCACTAAAAGGTTAAGTCAAACTATGATTTTTCTAATATTTGCATGATCATAACATATTACTAGACGGTAAACTTGATATTTAAATATAAATTAATTAATTATTAAATTTATAATAAATTAAATTATTTAATCATATTTTATTAATGATTGTTAGTTATATTTAGGCCAACATATTAGAGAATCTAAGAGGTCATACAGATTAAAATCAATTAATAAGAAATTAAACTAAGGTGATTAATCAAGTGTAACTTAATTGTAAATAAGTTTTATAAATTAAGAACTATAATATAATTTATACAAGGGATTACAATTCTAAACCTAGAAAGACTAAGTAAGAACTTGATTGAATATATTTTTAAAATTATTATGAAATAATATATATAATATTTTTTAAGGAGCGAAATGATATTTTAAAATTTATAGGGTTATCAAATTTTTTCTCTAATTAAAATGTTATCCCACATATTTTTTTTTATGACCTGATAATAGAAGATTTGATGTAATTACATGCATTTAAAAAACAAAATTGCACTCAAGGCCTAACAATCTCTCTCTTTTAAAAGAATTTTAGGAAATTTATAACTAATTATTTATGTAAATTACTGTTAGAAGCTAGATAATTGGATAACTTATAGTTTATAATTACTTAGTCTTAAAAAATTTATTAAACTTGAAAAAAAAATTAATTTTTAGATAATCCTCACTCAAATCCTAAATGATCCTAGATGATATGACAAAATTCTTGGAACTCCTCAAAAAATTAAAATTATTATTTCAGCTGTGTTTATGTTTTTATAAGATTTTTAAGTGGAACTATCAAAATTAAGCACGTGATTTACACATGACTATCATGTATTCTAGTAATGACCTTACGAGGCAGGCAAATGGAAGGGTTTTCATGTGTAACCTTGACCAATTCACGTGGTTTAGCCTGAAAATCTTTCTAGAATGATGGGATAGAAATTAAAATATATTTAAGCACCGAACTTGCTCAATTAAAGATATAATGATAGATTAAAAATTTACTTTATTATATTTGAACAAATTGAGTCTTAACCCTATTTATTTATTTTAACAGTTATAGTATTATTTTTTTATTAGTTTTTGTACATTTAAAATATTTTATTTGTAGATTGAGTTTTAAATAAGGCACCCATATCTATATTAGAGTATTGAAGATAAATTTTGTTAAATCTCACGCGAAATTATAATACCTTAAGTGATCACATAAGGAAAAAATCATTTGTTAAGGAGTCTAAGCTCCAAATATACTAAGATGAAAACAATACTTATTTGGGTGAGACATAAAGATGTATTTATCTTTTTTTAATGAAAGGGTAAGATTTTATATTAGTTTTGTTATAAAATATTTTAAATGTACAAAAAATAATAAATTTATTTGGATGATATCAATTTATACTCAAATTAAGTTTTGTATTAGTTTTGTTATAAAATTATTTTGATTTCTCAATCAATGATTTATGTTAGAATTATTAACAAAAAAAAAAAAATTCTTACAACACGATATCGCTTTGGAAATTAAGGGAAGAATATGGGTGTGAACAAGATGTGAACAAGACAACCCCTACAACCTAATATTTGGTCGTTTCTTCTTCTTTTGATTATGACAGGATTTGATTCTCCTTGAATTTGTATTCCTTACGTGGAAATATATTGAACCACATTGAGAAAATATTCTGCAATCTTAAATTCTTAATTTGTTTATTTTAGCTAATTAGGTTCATTATGTTTTTCTTTTTTCTTCATACGATATCATGATGTGGAATATATGCAAACAAAATCACCAAGTCTTTTGAATCTCTATCAATCTCATAAACGACAAACCCCCCCTCCCCTGTATGTTTATTTTTCCTTGCAATTTAAAGTTTATTTGGTAATTAGCAATGACTTTTTTTTCTCTAGAAATCATATGTTAGCTTTGTTATTTACATTATAAATTTATTTTAAAACAAAAATAAATAATTTTTTCTTATGTTGGATTGTAGTTATTTTGTAGTATTGTTTTAAATTTTCTAGCTGAGTTTTTATTTTAGTTTCAAAATTCAAAGAAATACAATAGGGAAAATTAAGTAAAAAAAAAAAAACTTTTTATATGGGAAAAAAATAAAAATTATCTCAATTTAAAAAACCAATCCAGCTTAAATTAATAACAAAATAACAAAAAAATTGTAATATTTTTTTAAATAACAGTTCTTTCTAAAAATGAGTTTAAGAAATTTCTAATGAAAATAAGAAAAATATAAAAATAATTCCTATAAATAAAAAGTTAGAAATTTTTTTCAGAAATTATTTAAATTTTATTGAATCCTTTAGTATATTTTTTTTGAAGTTTAAATCAATTATTTCTTCTTGTTTTTTTTTTAATTGGAAGTACCAATATGAATCTTCAATATTATTTCATTTTAATTGAAAATGGATTGAAATCTTCTTGTATTATTATTTTTATTTCTTTCATCCTTAAATATGTTTATTGAATTTAAATTATTAAATTTAAAATAAGTAGTCAAGTTTTATATTGTGTTAAAAAAGGCAGCAACTCAAATATATATTAGTATTTTTTTTACCCCCATAATCTTTAATATTATAGAATTTATAATTAAGCTTAAATTTATAACATAATTGATCATATTAACTTCCAAAAGATAAGAGTCTAAATCCATGGAGAAGGGTAGCATGACACTCCTACTTTGATGAAGAAAAACTTAGGGAAATACTTAAGCTATTTTTTTGTGAAATTACAAAAAACACTAAAATATTTTTTTTTTTTTAGGTTTTGCTTTAAAAATAGGGTGGATTATATTACCCATTCTCCGGTGCTTTTTCTTTTTCCTGGTTATTCAACTTTATTTATCTGTTATTTCATCTTTTTATTTATGTTATAACTCACTTTTATTTATGTTTTTCAGAGTGTTCTGTATGTGAATTAAAAATTAATTTTTTAATTTTTTTTTTAATTTTTTATGGAAAAAAATTAAAAAATCAAGATCGAAATTAAGAAGGGAAAAAATAGGCATTTCATTCATTTTCATTAGTTAAGAGGCATGAAAAACAATAGTTTGATTACTAAAATTTTAATTTTTTATATATTTTGTTCCTATTATGTTTAGGTCATGAACTTTTATTTTGTTTATGTTTTGGTCCCTTGTGTTGAGGAAGAAGCAAGAAATTTATCGGGGGGGAAAAAAAAGAGAAATCATTTGATCATACACATTTTGGCAATTAAAAGGGTAATTCTTAGTATTAATAGGTTTATCTAAAATTATGAAGTTTCATGACAAATGGTTTAAAACTTTCATCTTACTAGAAAAAGAAAATAGAAGATTAGAAAGAGTTTTCTTTTAATCGATCTAATTTTAGATTGATTTTTGTAGTGTTTTAGAATTAAAAATAGATTTACTTTGGTTTCTAGTATATATTTTTTAGGTGTGTTGTATGAAAAACAAGTTGAAAAATAGGTTTATTTGGGTTTATAATACTTGACTTTGAAATATTATTTAATTTTGCTATATTTTTCAAATAATATAACATTAAGAATTATTTTGTGAATTATTGTACATGAAACTAATATGCATATATATATATATATATATAATACTCAAGAAAATTAATTGAATAAAATATATAATGTTTTATTTTTTATAATAAAAATCTTACATGATTTATTAAGAATAATTATCTTTTCATTCTATTTATTTTATCATGTAAAGGGATGTATTTTTTCCTCCTTAATCAAATTATTGAGATACTTATGAATACTTATTTTAACAATTTGTAGTCTCTTATTCAAAAAAATATGTTTATGAATATGTTTATACATACATACATACATACATACATACATACATGTATGCATGTATGTATGTATGTATGTATATGTATGCATGTATGCATGTATTTTATACAAAGAAAACAAAATACATTAATAAAAAAAATAAAAACTCATCTAATAATTTTATTTTTTTTAATTTAAACCGGTGTCGCTCTTGCCCCCATTGCATCACACAAGGAAAAAAAATAGCATTCTAGAGGAGAAGATTATTCAATAATTAAGAGGAAACAAAGAACAGCTAATTATTCATGGAAGAATACAATAAATCAATAGGAAAAAAAACAAGGTCATGTGGGATTTTCCCCCTTGGTTAATGGGTGTCAGATGCATCGGAGCCGGTCTTAATAGTCAAATACTATTTCCATGTCTTGGGCATCTCTACACGTTCCCTTCAAGAACACAATTTATCTCAGACTAGATGGTATATTCCAAGGTAAAACAAGCAAAATTGTTGCCAAATAAAAACAAAAAGAAAAAAGGAACGGAAACAAGTATTGTAATGAGTTTCACACAATAATAATAAATATTTACAACGACTTTCCTTGTCAACCCTTGTGCTTCCACAATTTAATTGTATCAATAATTGAAAAGGTCGGGATCCTGAAAGGGGCCAAAAGCAATGAACCAACATATTCTATTCTATCCACCATCTTCTATCCATCTATCTAGACATGAATTCCAGGCGATTTCACGCTTCCATCCTGGTGGTCATGCACCCCATTGGCCCCACCGCCACCACCATTTCTCTTGTTTATAACGCCAAGCTTTACCAAGAACTCATCGCCCCAGTCCCACAAGTGCAAAACCATGTAAGTCCCGATCCCTCCTATCAAACCGTATGCAATGGAGTAGGTCAAAGGCATTAAAATCAACGTCATAAAAGCTGGGATGGCTTGCCTCATATCATTCCACTCTACCTCGACCACTGATTTCATCATCAGAACTCCCACTAATATCAACGGTGGGCCCACTGCCCATGCTGGTATGGATGCCAGTAACGGCGTGAAGAAAAAGGCCAAGAAGAAATACCCTGCCACGGTGAGAGCGGTCAGACCCGTCCGCCCACCCTCCCTAATTCCTGTTGACGATTCGATGAATGCCGTCACCGGTGACGTGCCCAGCAATGACCCGACGACAATTGACGTGGCGTCCGACATGAAGGCGGAGTACTGGCCCTCGAAATCACCATTTTGATCTGAAAACCCAGCGAACCGAGCCATCGAGTACAAGGTGCCAGTGGTATCCAATATATCCACGTATAAGAACGTGATCAGAGCCTCCCAAAAATAACCTTTGCCAATGCTCTTAAAACTCAACGCCCCAGCTGTGCTTTCAATAGCATGTACATCAACAACTTTCTTGAAATATTCATGTGCGGCATCACCTGCTTCCGTGTTAGGAAACACCGTTACCTTGGTGTCACGGAACCATGAAATGGCCGTTACAAAAACAATCCCGTAAATCATAGCCCCTTTAACGTTTTTCACTAGGCAATAAGCGATTATAACAAATCCCACCACGCCAAGCCATAGAGTAGGGCTCTCCATCCTGTCCCGGAGGCAAAAGATATCGCCGGAAACGGTACCGCCCGGGATCAAACTCACAGTTCCGTTAGCTAACGTCATGACAGGAGCTAACGACGCACGTGATGAACTTGGACACCCCGCAAGCGTTACAAGAGTGGATGAACTGTACCCAACGAGCCCGATTCCTTGACCATTCTGCAACCCGATGAAGGCCAGAAAAAGTCCGATACCAGCAGAGGAGCTGATCCGAACTGGTTTAGGGACTAATTTAGCCAATTTCGCACGTAACCCAATTGCTGAAATGCCTAAAAAAATTACGCCTTCAATAAACACGGCAGCTAATGCACTCTTATATGAGACATTACCCGACCCGTGAAACCCGACAACCGTGTAAGCAAAATAAGCATTAGTGCCCATACCCGGAGCCAGAGCCAACGGGAGATTGGCAAATGTACCCATGATTAAACAGCCAATAAGAGAAGATGCGACAGTGGCTACTATCAGGTCCTTACGTGTTTTCTCTAAACAAGAAGAGTATCCCGGGTTAACTGGGTTGAATTTGCATGACTCATCGGGTTGGATTACTCGAAGACCAGTTGACCCGGTGCAGTTGGAAACAGGTACTGTAGGGTCCGAACATAGTGGGATACAATCAGAAACGCTGCATGTACCGCCGCTGTCGGTGAGGATGGAAGCGTTGACTGCCAAGATGTATGCCATGGTAAGGAAGGTGGTGGTGCCAGCACGTAACTCGGTTGTGAAGCTTGAGTTACGCTCAGCAAGTTTGAATCTCTTACCAACTCGGGTTCCGGCTACATAGTTGTTTAGCCTTGTTAAAGGCTTCTGATTTTGTGGAGGTGAAGAAGATCCAATCTCCATGTATGGCACCACCACTGAATTATGTTTTCTGGCTGATCAACCTCTCTCTGATATACACAGAGAAGTTAAGGAAGGCAGAGAGATGGATATTTCTTGAGAGAGATAATAAATGATGGCAAGATGTGATTTGTGGATACAAGGAGGATAGATTCTAAGGGCTTTGGGATCTTTTTAAGCTTTTTTATAGCCCAAAAGTAGGTGGGGAGCTTGTGGTGGCAGCTTTTTATTCCTTAATTTGTGTGTGAACTGTGATTTATTTTATGGCCAGTTTGTTTAAAAAACTCCTTGTCATGCTGATGCTGCTACATATATGCGTTTTAGTTTTATTAATTTTGCAGCAATAAGTATCGTCGTCTATTCAATTTACTGGCGAATCAACACGCTGATTTTAATTTATTTTTTTAGAGAAAATATTCAAAAAAATAAAAATATATTTAAGATGTATATTTCGTGGAAGTGTGTGAAAGGGGGTGTTGTTAAATTGGATGGCCACTTGTTGGTAGTAGTGTCCGAATTCGCAAGCAATTGGCATTCTAGAAATTTTGACATTTCATAATAATGCCTAAACTTGACTTAGTTTCATATTAAATTATTTAGTTTGAATTCAACATTTCATGTGTGTTTAAAGCATGCTATTCCGAAAATAAATCAAAATCAAGTGTCTTTTGAATTGTGATTTTACTTAGGTACAAAAAATCAAATACCAAATCAAAGAGTAAAGTCAAGAATTTGAATAATTAAAAATATTTTTTTAATATCACATAAACAAAAATCATGCAGTCCTAGTATTTACAGATAGCTCTTTAGGTCAAATTAAAAAGGCCCTGAGAAAAAAACAAAGCGAACCTCCCACGTTTTAAGGATCTGATATGGTAGATTCCTTTTTTTAAAAAAAAAAGGAAAAAAAAAAAAGAAAAAAGAATTGAATCCAGCTGTTATAGATGTATGGGTTAGCCTAGCTAACATGTTTCAAGGGTCAACATTAAAGGCCTTTACCACGTGTGACTAAAGAGATCGACCAATTGTTTTTTCTTCAAAACATGGTAAGATCTTCACAGGAACTAAACATTGGATCTTCCGAGCCGAATATAAATATAATAGTCACTTTAACTGTTTTTTTTTATTTCACATAAAATATATTATTAGAGTAGTTTTTGAGATAATTTATAGCATTTTAAAAAGAAGGTCCAGAACCATGATGAACTAAATGTTCAAGGGCTTGCCTCTGGCTCCTATTTATAAGCAATTCGATCGTAACTGGTCATCATGATCCAACCAGGGTTAGCAATGTCACGAGACTGGCATCCTCATTGGCTCATTCGGTGGACATTGTACTCTCTTTTTTATTGAATGCACTCACCTGCTTTCACAGACAGGATGGGCTGTCCACACTAACTACTCTCACTTTTGCTCCTCCTTTTTTTATTTTTAATCTGCAAGACAAGTCCAGCAATATGGCTCCAGTTATGCACGAGTAGTTGTCTTAATTTAGTCTTTGTCAGATCGTTGACATACGCTGCGTTGCAAGTTAAGATATATCAGCCAACTGAGAATAAAAAGGACTAACAGAGAACTGGTTTTCACTGTACAAATCTTATTAGAATATTATTTTGTTTTATTTTTTATTTTATTTTAATTAATATTTTTTTATTTAAATTCATTGTTTAATATTAGATTTTTTCTGGTTATTATATTTTCATAACAGTAATACGAGACTTAAGAAGTTAATCTAATTTGATTAATTAACTTTATTGACTCATATTTTTTTTTATATTTTTTTAATTTTATTTTTTAATATTAATTCGATTAAAAATTCAAATTCATGATTTATTTTACTTACTTTTTATTAGGCTATTCTAGTATTATAACTTGAGAACAATGTTTCACGGGTTACCCTGAGTTAATCAATATTGTTTTTTATATCTTTTATTTATTTAATTTTTTTTCTATTTTTTCATTTAATATTGAGTCGGTTCGGAATTAAGCTTCATAATATATTTTGATTTGCTTTTTATAAGAATATCTTAGTCTTATGATCAAGATTATGGTTTTTGACATTTTAATATTGGTTAAATCATGTCTCTTTTTTTTTCAGTTCTAAGAAGTTATATCAATCTCATAACCTGGGTCACGGGTCTTTCAATATTGGACTTGATTTTTATTGGGTTATCGTTTCCGTCTCTTGACTTAGATCGCAACGGGTTAACCAAATTAACTCATTTTTTCTCTTTTTTTAATTGATTTTTTTAATTTCATCAATTAATATTGTGTTTAATTAGAAATTAAGCTTCATGATTTATTTCAGTTTATTTTTCATTAGGTTATTCTGAATTTATGACTCGAAAACAGTGCTTAACAGTTAACTCAAGTTTACTTGGCTCGTTTTTTATGTTATTTTTTATTAAGATTTTTATAATTTTTATCGTTTCACATTAGATCCAATGAGGGCAATTGAAAATCAAGTTTTATAACTTATTTTAAATTTCTCTATATATGGGTTATCTTAGTCTCAAAACTAAAGTTGTGGATTTGACAAGTTAAGCAAGGTTAAATCAAATTGTTTTTTTTTATAAGATTATGTGTCATGAGTTTGGTGGATTAACACAAGTTGATTTTATGTTCTTTTTCAATTGATTTTTTTTAATATAATCCTTCAATATTAGGATGGCTAGGGATTGAAATTTATAATTTGTTTCAATTTGCTTTTCATAAGGTTATCTTGATTTTATAACCTAAGTTGCAAGTTTGACATGTTAACTTGAATAGTTTTTCAGATCCTTTTTTAATGGATTTTTTTTAATTTCATCCTTCAATATTGGATTGATTAAAAATTACGCTTTATAATTTATTTTGATTTTCTTTCTATAGGATTATCATAATCTCATAAGCCGAGTCATGAATTCAACATGTTATCCCGAGTTGTTCCAGGTCAGTCCAATATGTTGTTATTTTAATATTAAAAAAATATATCATCTTGAAATTTTATTTAGTCAAATATTATTTTTACGGGTTGTATGTATTTTTTTGGACTAGTAAAATCATTTAAGCTATTTCGGGTGAACCATCATATGATTTAATCTTTTTCTCACTAGAAACAAATCTTAGAAATATTTTAATTTTTTTCCATCCTAGAACAATTTGACTTGACTCGCGGCGTAGTGCGAGATAATCATCTAGTAATAATTAAAATTCCTAACTAATTTTTAGATATTTCTGGATAATAAATTAATTATGTAACAAGAAAATAACTATTACTCTAAATATTTTATCTAAGATAAGTTGTTTTGTGTTTATTTTTAATAATAAAAATATATATATTGTGCTATTGTAAAGATGATTAGTACTTAAAAGTGTATTTTTATCAAGGTTTTATATCATCATTTTGTACTTGAAGTATCAATAACTCCTTAACTAGAGCATGCTTTATAGTAACAAATCTGATAATATAAGATACCTTTAATTTATGGTAAATATTCATTTTAAATACTGACCTATTATATAAATCAAAGGATTAACTGATATGATTAACTATTGAAAGTAAAGGATAAAGAAAAGGTTAAGCTTAAAAAAAAAATATTGGTTCAGTCCAAACTAGAATATTGTTCAGTCATTTGATCGTATTTGGAGATATAAATCTTGGATTTCAGTTTGGTTTATATAGCTAGAAAGTTAAAACATAATTCTAAAACATTCATGAGAGTCCAAGACTTAATTCTACTATTTAAAAGTTTAAATTTTAGAATCAAAAGAGAAGTCTGAATTTGCCCAGCAACCTAGATATTATTCAGTATTCAGCCCATATCTCAAGTTCTAGAAGTCCAAATACATTGATTTTTTTTTGTTGGAAATCCAGAACTTTCATGAAGATTATTTATTCAAATTCTAATGTTAGCAATGATGTTTTTGGCAAAAAATAAAATAAGGATTGTCACAAAGTCAAGAGATGGTCACCCACTTAATAATTAGTCATCAAATTAATAGTTTTAAATTTTAGCCTGTAAAAAGAGACATTTACTATGCATATAGACATCTTGGTTTTCATATCAAAATCATGTTCTTGGTCTCTTTCTTTATATTTTTATAATGCTTAAGTTTTGCTTTCATTGATCTATTATTTATGCTTTTCATCACAACTATGTTCTTATCTAGTTTATTTATATTTCTCTTCTTTATAATGTTTAACTAAGTTTATTATGTCAAGGTGAAAAAGTTTCTTTAATAGTGTTAAAATAGATATAATATAAACTCAATATAGACTTCAATGTTTATATCCAAGAAAGCTCAATATAGACTTCAATGTTTATATCCAAGAAAGTTTGTTATTAACATGTCTTATATTTTTGTCTTACTAATTCTTAATACCTTGCTTGTTAAATGGTTAATCTAGATTTGTGTTGTATAATACTTGGTATAATAAATGTTTAACACTTTCATAGCCAACCGTATGATATAACCTACACCTGTGTTATGGAAGGAAGGAACTTGATTTGTTGTATAAGTTAGCATCATGAATTCTTGACAATATTCAAAAGTTTAGTACTTAAATAAGATAATTAATATAATCATGTTAAAAATTTATAATGAACTATTAAGGATAAATTATCTGATAGAACCTCTTTTGTGTGTGGTTTCTAGTTGAGTAATAAAAAGAGTTTATGTTATTCTTATTTGAAATACTATTAGTGCATCATCTAACTTGGACAACTGTTTTTATCATTGTTTAATGGGCCAAACACTGAACAGTGCGCAGGCTAGAGGATAGATTCAGACTTCTTTATTATTGTTACAATTTGGACTTGAAAATGACCTTTTTAAATCTTGAGCTTATATGAAAGTTGTAGGCCTATGTCTTACATTTTCATCCATATAAAGTAGATCTAAATCCGAGATCTACAGCTCCAGATATGACCTAATTACTAAACAGTGTTCTGGTTTGGACTGCACCAACATCTCTTTTCTAAGTTTGACCATCTCTTTGTCCTTTCAATTTTAATTATTAAATTCATCAATCAATCCTTTCATTTTATATGATATGCTTGCATTTAAAATGAACATTTACCATAAATTAAAGGTATCTTATATTATTAGATATGTTGTTATAAAAAATATTTTAGTTAAGGAGTTATTGATACTTCAAGTGCAAAATGATAATATAAAACCTTGATAAAAATGCACTTTTA